TATCTCTCTGTTACTTTTTTTACTTACTTCTTTATAATACGTGTCTCTCTTTCCTCTCCTCTCCTCTCCTCTCCTCTTCTCGTCTCTTTTCTTCTCTCTTCTCTTCTCTTCTTTTCTCTTCTCTGCTCTCTCTCTTTCCCTCTCCATCACCTTATCCCTGGCCCTGCCCCTGCCTCTGCCCCTGCCCCTGCCTCTACCCCTATCCCTATTCTTATCTTTATCCTTATCCTTATCCTTATTCCTATCCCCTATTACTATCCTTACCCCTATCCCTATTCCTATCCCTATCCCTCCCTATTTCTCTCTCTCTTACTCTCTCACCCTTTCACTCTCTCACTCTCTCACTCTCTCTTACTCTTTCTTTCTCTTTCTTTCTCTCTCTCTCTCTCTCTCTCTCTCTCTCTCTTTTTCTTTCTTGCTCTATGTACGTATTTCTTTGATGTATTTGTTAGTAGAGTGCAGTGTATGCATGTAAGTGTATTTGTATGTTAAAGTATATGTAGCATGTCCGTGAATGGCTAAAGGAAATTAGATCGGAGGGTGGTGCAGGAGTGTACGTCTGAAGTTCAAGGTCAACGGGGACTCGGAGCAGGTGGGCTTGGCCGGGGGTCAGGCTCGCTCACTATGCTGTGTGGTAGACCGGGTAATCCAGCAGTAGGGGGAGCTGAAGCAGGGCCTCCAGCCCCGCCGCCGCCTACCGTTGGACCCGCGGGGCCTGTCGGACCCCCGGCGCCTGCACCGCCTGCCGAGGAGTTTGGTCCGCCACCACCCCCACCACCACCGCCGCCGACGACGGAATGCCCACCGGGAGGTGGGGGTGCAGAATCGTGAGGAGTCGTTGAATGCGCCTGTTGAACGGGCAGCGCCCCAGCGTAGTATCCGCCGTTGATCCCCTCGGGGTAGCTGCTGGAGAAAGCGAAAAGAAATTGGCCACTTCGATAAATGCCTTTTACAAAGTGCCCAATCGATCTTAGGAAATCCAAAGGTTCGAGAACGCTTCTATAACCACGTTACTTTACACTTGATTCTCTTTCCATGTAATACGAGTTAACATCTGCTTGAAAATCTGTTTCTGTAAAAATTACGATATCTTTTTCCCGGGTGCAAGAAAAAGAAATAGCGTCGATACTCCAAGTATATAAAATATACCCTACGATTTTTAAGCCTTAGTTGAATTTTATTGGCATTTTAAGGACGCTTACCCGGTCGAGGAAAGGAAATACTCCTTGTTTACACAGTTTCGTAAGCAGTCTGGTATGCGACCGACGATAGCTCTTCGTATTTCGCTGGCCGCCATCTCGCGAAGTTCGGTGCAGCTCGCGTCGCTGTAGAATGCGGCGTGTGGTGTGCACAACAGATTCGGCGCATCTTTCAACGGACCTAGGGCATACACGGAAAGAAAATACATTATTCTCTTGCGATCTATCTTTGCGCCCCACAATCTTTTTTTCTTTTTTCTTTTTCCTTCCCATCCTCTTTTTAAAATTTCAACGTGCATCGTCAACGAACGTATCTGCTTGTTTATTTCTTACATTTATCAATTTATCAATGATAAAAAAATTATCGATTCGTAAGCTACGTGGTAACGATAAACGTTGTCTCCTAAATATGTTCACCTTTAATTGATTCCTTTATAAATAATATGCCACTGGTGTATAATATATACCAGATAGTCAAGAAGAGGACTAGGATGACTAAAGGAAATATTAGTCAGAGAGGGAGGGGGTTAGGTATGGTCAGACAAAACTCACATTGTGTAGACTGACCCTGAAAGACATTGTATGGTTCATTTTCATGAACATCCAATGCCGCTGCACGAATTCTACCCTGTTTAAGTGCGGCAGCTAATGCATCATCGTCTACCAGTCCACCTCGTGCTGTGTTTACTAAAAATGCTCCTGGTCTCATCTGCAATAACATCGTAGTCTCATTAAAATATCAATAAAGAAACTTGTTTAATTAATTATAAGAATATATTAATACCTGCTTGATAGTGAATTCATTTATTAGGTGATGATTGTGCTCATTCAAGGTACAGTGTAGAGACACACAGTCGGATTGAAACAGTAAATCCTGAAACGTACAATGAAACATAAGTTTGATTAAATTGATGGACATTTGATTACAAAAAAGTAAAAAAAAAAAGAATACTATTAGGAATAATAGAAAGGATTCTTCACCTGCAATGTATAAACCCTGGTGAGTCCAAGAGATTTCTCGATTCCATCAGGTAGGTAAGGGTCATAAAAGATGACAGTGAAACCAAAAGCTTTAGCACGTAATGCAACTGCAGAACCGATCCTGCCTAAGCCGACTATGCCAAGCGTGTCGCCTCGTATCCTTGCACATCCTGTTGCTGCTTCCCTAACCTAAAATATGTTACATATTAAAATAATTATATCTTATGTCCTTTATAAATAAAAAATTACTAAAAAAATACATATCTTTCTTTTTTTTCTTACCTGTTCAGGTCCAGTGAATTTTTTTCCTTCGCGTACCATATTTGCTAACCAATATGTGCGTCGATAAAGATTTAAAATCAGACAAAGAGTGGTGTCTGCTACTTCTTCGACTCCATAGCCAGGCACATTGCACACTGCGATGCCAAGTTCACCAGCTGCTTTGACATCGATATTATCTACTCCGGATCCAATTCTAACAATAATCCGTAGCGTTTTGAACTTTTCAAGGTCTTCTTTTGTCAAAATTATAGTATGCCACATAAGTGCACCTACAGCTTCATTTAATACCTATGATATATGAAATATAAATAAATATCTCATTTAAATCTCAATTAAATTAAGATACGATGGATCTCCTTTTACAATGCAAAGATATCTTACCTTTTCATGAATTTCTGACGTGGACTGTGCATCGCAAAAGGCCACAGTCGCAACATCTTTAAGAATGGGCATTTCAATAGAACAATCTCGTCCATCAAGTAAAGCCACTAGTGGTCGTGATTGGATGGGCCCATTTGCAATAGGGCCCCTTAGATTCTCCATTCGAGGGCGTTTGGGCATCATCTTCCGTTTGTCCATCGGTCAGACAGCCCCCCCTATGTTTATGTTTTTCACCCTTACTCTCAGTTTCACTAAAAATGTCCACTATTTCGCAAAAAAAGTTTTATAAACCGCACGCAAGGAAGCCTCTTCGAATATCTGATTATATGATTTTGCACTTTGATGCTTTGTCACACAAATTGCTTTTGCAACACCGACTTCTGGTTGGTTTTTGTACAAGGACCACAGAACCTCCAACGCATCACGAATCGCTGAATACCGTCTCCTGTAAATAAGGAAACACAAGTTTTATTTTAATGTGCAATATATTTGTAAACTTACATACATCAAAAGCTTATATTATAATAAATATTCCAGGTATTAACATACATATCTTAAGTAAGCAACTCTTTATTTCTTATTTGTAATTTAAAAATTAATTCTAATAAAGCACGTGGGCAATAATACAACGCATTATTAATTGCAAAGTAACGCTTAATCATTTGTATAAAATCATAGAATAAGAAATATTAGTATAGTATATTACAACAATAATGGATGCATAGAAATGAAATAAAATAAGCAATCAAATGGTCAGACAAATAAGCTTGAAAAAATGTACGTTGCACAAAAATTACGTGAACGAGGATGATAGCATACATACATACATCTTTGTTATGGAAACGGATGAAAATGTGAAATATGTAATAATGAAATCTACATCAAAGGATAGATTTGTAATTCGGCATACTAAATGAATGCCACCTTTGGAAGCAAATGGCATAAAAAAAAAGAATAAACGATAGTCTGACAATCGAGTAATTAACCCTGGCAAAACTTATGAAGAAATTACTGCGAAAACACGCACACACATAATATTCGTAACAGCGTGCGCGATTGAAAACTTTTTAGGTTACCTTGAAACGCGCCGGCTTAACCTGCGCACTGCGTACGTTCGAGCGAGTAAAATAATAATATCCTGTGGGTGAATTAGAAAAAAATATCACAAAATATCGTAATATCACTACAACTTTGGAATAAGAAATAAGATTACGAGAATTATTCCTGTGGTTATTACTTAAAACGTTGAGAAAAAGAAGATCGCAGAGAAGCGCAGAGGGCACCCAGAACGAAATCACTGGCGGCGGCTGGGGATAATGTTTTCGGGTGCGTTGATACAGTACACTACTCTTGGCGTTGGTAGGTAGCACGATATATATTAGCTCTGGTATTCTTTTTAAAAGCTTCAACTGATTTCTCACTTCTTAGCCAATAACGGTCAACCGAAACTTTGTCGATGACCAATAACAACACAGAGATGTATATATAAGCATACAAGAAGTACATATGTATATATGTATACGAGTAACTTCGTCGGAAAATAAGCTCGTATTCTTTATGAAAGCTTTGAATGATTTCTTACTTTTTTTTTGCCGACGACGGTCAAATAAAAACTTTATTGATAACTAATAACTAATAACAATAGAGACGATATGTATACACATATATACATATATATGTATTTGTGTGTATATATATATATATATATATTTCGAGTAATTTTGTAGAGAACAAATTTTTTTTTCCTTTTACAAATAATGCTATTACGCATTCGATCCAGTTACTACAAGAAAGTAATTAGAAAGCCAATCATAGTGCATCTACGTTTCATGTACAAGTTATACATATATTTATATATATATATATATATATATATATATGTGTGTTGTGTACCATGTATATATGTTTATGTGTATATAAATCTTACTAATACATATAATATATATAACACACGCACGATATTTCTTAAGGCAAACTACTCTACTGGTGGAAAGATGAAACTGATTTTTCTCGTTAGAGGCCTCCACTATAGAGCGTTGGTCAACGAGTCGAAAAGAATAACCCTAAAACGATACCGATTTATGATTCAGCGCTTTTATGTGGTCAAACGGAAAAGTGCTGAACTAGTAAAGTTCCATAAGAAAAGTCGGCGCGACTCTAACACGTGGCGCCCTCGCATGCGTGAACGGACGCTTTGCAATTGATGAGTATGTGATAGGCACACACATACACATACAACGCGCACGCACGTATGCATGCACACGCGCGCAAGCGTGCTTTCATCTCAAGATACTACATACTGTTCGAAGTAACCCCTTCTTATTCTTCTTCTTCTTCGTACTTTGTTAACGAACGATTCGTAACGAGATTATTACACACGTGTCTATTACTAGTTAAGAAGAAAGTTTCTACCGCGAATCTTTCTCATGAAAGAATAGAATAAAAGAAAAAAAAAAAAATAAGAAAACATTTCGAATGGTTTTTCTCAATCCTTTTTTGGAAATATATTTTGACATTGACCAATCAATTTTCAAGGATTAACGTTCTTGAATCGTGTAAACGCCGTTGCATATAAAATCCTACTTTGTTTTACTGTTTACACATTAATTGACACGAAAACAAAATTGTTGTTATTCTTACGATTAATTTACATATGAAACTATGTAAAAAAAAAAAAAAAAAAAAAAAGGAAACATTTTAATATACGTAATAAATTTTCTACATTGAATTTAAATAAATTTGAAATAGACTTTAAATAGATAATAAATGTATTTTTATATTCGTTTATCGATATTGATATTTTTCAATGTTTATCGATACTTATCTATAATTCTATTAACAAAAAAAAAAAGAAATCAGAACTAACCGATAATGAAAATAAAAGTGTATCGATGAATCGCTTCACACGTGTCCGTGTAACTTTTGAATGATAGAATGAGAGGGAGGTAAGGAAGTAGAGAGAAAAAAAGAAAGAAAGAAAGAAGGTTTGAGAGTTCGCTCGAATCCGTAGGTCAACATACGCGCGCATAATCGAAATACGTAGACATAGCTTCTTCCGCGGGGAAGGGGAAGTAAAGAAGAGATAGAGAAGGAAGGCTACACAAAATGAGATCTACTGCTGGCCTCAGCGAAAGCGAGGATGCGATACTAACGCGAAATGCAAACCCAAGCACTTTGACTTGGGCACATGTTGTGCCAACTCAGCGAAAACGCCAAGCTCATATCATCAAAAGGAGAAGAGACAGAGAGAGAGAAAGAGTTGAAACCCCAGAAAGAGAAAGAGAAGCGACAAGAGAAAGGGATAGAGGGGGGAGGAGGAGATTAAGTCCTTGTTCGACAGCTGGCAGAGCGTATATATCGTACAATGTACGCGTACGTGAAGTTTAACCCGAGGAACAAAGTCGCGGATGCATTTGAGGAAGCGCGTTAAAGAAGAGAGACGTAGACAGAGAAAGAGAAAGGGGAGAGAGGGAGAGGGAGAGAGAGAGAGAGAATCAAGCTAGCTCGTATTTACTATATATATATGCATATATTCCTACCACTACTACTACACAATGATCGTAACTAGCTATAAACGTTAACGACCACGTACTATGCTCGGAGGAGTCACTTCTTCTGCTCTCCACTCTTCCCCTGTTCCGTTCCATTCCGTACCTAACCTCATCCCTCTTTCGTCACCCCGAACTTCGTCTCGTTTATCTCGAGGACCGTGATTTCAGTACATGTGACGCGCGCGCTTTGATGATTACGCGTTAGAGTATAATTTGGGGAAAAACAAAAAAAAAAAAAAAAAAAAAGGAAAAAAAAGTTAATAATATTGGATTGATTTGTAAGAAAACATTTAAGTATTGAAGAAAGAAAATTCCGAAAGAAATGGTCAAGAAATGAAGTTGATAAAATGCTTTAATGTNGGAGTCACTTCTTCTGCTCTCCACTCTTCCCCTGTTCCGTTCCATTCCGTACCTAACCTCATCCCTCTTTCGTCACCCCGAACTTCGTCTCGTTTTATTTTTTTACCGTGATTTTTCTGTTTTTCTTTGTCGCGCTTTTTTGATTTTCTTTTTTTTTTAATTTGGGGAAAAAAAAAAAAAAAAAAAAAAAGAAAGGAAAGATAATGTATATAGTATTGGATTGATTTGTAAGAAAACATTTAAGTATTGAAGAAAGAAAATTCCGAAAGAAATGGTCAAGAAATGAAGTTGATAAAATGCTTTAATGTCTTGGCTTGCGCTATCCTTTGACCCTATTTCCTCATTTCCATGTGACACATACCGTACACATTATGCTGCGTTGCATTATGGCACACACAACGTCCACGTTTCCAGCGCTCACGTTACTACTCATCCAACGACCTAACCTAACCTAACCTAACCTAACCTAACCCAACCTAACTTAACTTAACTTAGCCTGACTTAACTACCCAACCTAAACTAAACTAAACTAAACTAAACTAAATTTATATATATCTTTTTCTCTCTTCCATCATTAATCCATCTATATAAAAGTTTTCTAAGTTAGTCAAATTTTATTCCAAAATTTCTTTCTGGGTCTACACGTCACTTGGTTTAAGTGATTAAATTCAACCCTTTTGCTTTAATCTCGGTGTGCAACAGAGTTTTACAAGTTGGACAGATGAAGAAGGATAGAGAGATAAAGAGGACGAAGGGATGAAAAAGAGGAAGAAATGAGGGAGGAAGGGAAAGAGCACGCGCGCGGGAAGGACGAGGTATATTATAGAGAGGTTGAGTAGGAATCGTAGTAAGAGGAGGAGGAGGAGGAGGATTGAAGTCGAGGAGGTGGCGGGGTGCTATGAGGGCGAAGTTATCCAATTATTGTCTAACCTGGGAGCAACTTTACTTGGCTGAGAATCGTGAGGAAGAGATAGAAGGGGGGAAGGGGGAGGGGGGGAGGCTGCTCGTCCTCCTCATGGTTCACTCACTCTCTTCCTTCCTCGGACCCCTTTTCGCTCTCCCTCCCTCCTCACTTCCTACAATCGAGCCACGATAAAGTAAAGTTTGTTTCAAAACTTACCTCAGCGAAGTGACTAGGTTTTTGTTAGTGACACGTGAAATTCAAACGACCGTGCCACCCCCAGCCCCCCTCCCCTTCTTCCTCCTCCTCCTTTTCTCTTCTAGCTTTCCCCTTTCTTTCTCTTTCCTTCCCCCTCATCCTCGGAAAATAATCGCGTAAGCTTTTTTATCCCCCGTTGCGATAACTTACAAGAGGGGTAAGGGGAGGGAGGAAAAGGGAAGGAAAAAAATGAGAAGAAAAAGAAGAAATCGTCGTCATTACGAGGATGTTATTACTCTATGCTCGGAAATTCACTCATCTCTAAATTATATCTCTCTCTCTCTCTCTTTCTCTCTCTGGTCGACACATTTTATCGGCTATTATTTCCGTGTACTAAAGAAAGAGAGAGAGAGAGAGAGACTCGCGAGTTTCGAT